ATAGAGAGATGGACTTAGGGATCTCAGCTGGAAAGAGAGGCAAAGGGAAGATACTGCTCGGGAGTAAGAGGAGGGCTCAGAGGGCTGGGGTTGGGCGCAGGAGTGTGCCGATTGTGTACTCAGTCTGGGCCTGGTTCCCCCCATAGGTGTCACTCTTTGGTTATCACTGCATTCAAGACTAGAGGGGCCAGCTCCCTGATGCCCAGTTCTTCAGGCTTCAGTTCCACAGAGGGCAGCAGTGGGGATGGATACACAAGCAGGCAAGCACACTGCCTTTGGATCAGACCCGACTCAGCGACCCCTCCTTGGGTTTCTGAGGCGATATCACTACGGAAGTAGATTGCCCAACCTTCCTTCCGAGGAGTGGCTAGTGGGTTTGAACCACCAGGCTTCTGATTAGAAGTCAAATGCCGTAGGCACAAGCAACCACTAAGTTATCCCGTGAGTGCATTTGGGCCTCAGAATAACTGAGCCCCACCAAAGGGAGCTCTGGTAGCATAGTGCCAGAAGGCTGATGGTTCAAACCCACCAGCCACTCCTTGGAGGGATGGTTGGGCAATCTACTTCCGTAGTGATACTGCCTCAGAAACCCAAGGAAGGGTCGCTATGAGTCGGGTTCAACCCAACGGCACATAACAAGAACCACAATAACCAAAGGCTATAGATTCTCACCCTCCAGAGAACAGGGACTGCTCACAGTGAGGCAGGGTATCATTCCACCTTGACGTGGACTCAGAGGGCACCTTTTTGATGATAAACAGCAAACTGTTAGGCTTCAGTGTCTGCTTCCTCAAGAGAGAAAGGGCTTTGATTTACAAAAGAATCTCACTGGGCTTGTGGGCTTGTGGGCTTGTGTTTTACAGTCTTAGGAAAGATGGCATCACTGGGCCTCAAGATGCCCTTCTCCATTTCCCAGCCACAAATGACTGGCCATTTTAGCTACGTGGTATCAGGGAGATGGTATGAGTCGGTGGCTGGCTGGGCCGTTTCTGTGGAAGTATGCGAGGACTCACTGCCACTGAAGGAGGTAGGGGAGCAATCCAAGCCCAACTCCTCTGAGCCCCTGTGCAGTCCTGCCATTCCCTGTTCCACACCTCATCCATGTGGGGCCTGCCTCAGTCCTCAGTCTCTCTGTTCTGCCCAGCAAGGTTCCTCAGAGTGGGCCCCCTGAGTGGGTTGAGGAGGATAGACAATGGGTGGATGGGCCTCTAGGGAGAATGAGGGGCACCCCCTACTCTCACTCTGGACAGAGGGCTGGGCACTGATCTACCGTTGTCAGACACTCCAGCTTTGCAGGTCCTAAAGGTCTTGAGCGTGTTCCCTTTGTGAGAAGGAAAAATAGTCACATGGGAGCTTTAGTAAAGGACTGGGTCACCTTTAGAAAAGGGATCAAAGCTGGCCATTGAGATGCCCTGAGGATACTTTCTGTTTGCAGAAGCTGTGGCTTCACTGAGAGGGAGATGGCTGGCACGATCTTTTGCCCTTTCTCCAGGTCTCACTGTTAACAACCTTCCCCACCGAGCCACCATCCCCAAATGAAACTGGTCCCTTCCCATCACTCCTCTCCATAGCAGCCTCCACTCTTTCTCCATTTCATCCCTTCTCCCATTTTGTAATTGTGTATTTTGTGTAATATTTATCTCTCATTAGTCTGAGCTCCATGAGGGAGGGGAGTGTATCCTTGTTGTACTCCACCATATACCTGCTAAGTCAGGTTGGCTAAATCAGATTGGCACTTATTTTTAATAGTAATGTGAAATGAATGAATGGATATTTGCCTTGTTTTTGGAAGTTTTATCCAAGTAATATGTGCACTGGGTTGAAAATAGTGGAGTCTACTAGTACAGACCAGTACAGTTAAAAAGAACAACTGACACCTGCCCATGTTTCTCTAACGCCTCTCCCACAGGCAAAGACTTTTGACCATTTCGGCCCCCCCACCAAGCCCAGCTTTTGCTAGCTGCATCATTGTGGTTAGTTCTTTTATTGGTTACATGTGCCCTCTTACCATGCAATTAATCCTCCCTTATTTCTTGCTCTGTGAACTTCCTGTACTGTTTTGTTTTTCTGCTGTGTAAGCTGAGGCTTCATGGCCCTGTCATACATACATACATACATACATACATATATGGAGCTCTGGTGGCATGGTGGCTAAGGCGTTTGACTGCTAACCAGAAAGTTGGTGGTTCAAACTCACCAACAGCTCTGCAGAAGGAAGACTGGACAATCTGCTTCTGTAAAGATTTACCCCTCAGAAACCCAGTGGGGTCACTATGAGTTGGAATTTCTATTTACCTTTTTTTTCTTTTATTGAGAGAGAAAAAAATATATATAACTTGTTCATATTCCCAGGCGGTCTAAGAGTTTTGAGCTTCTTATTGACTCTGTCTATGGAGATGAATGTGCCACTCTTCTTGTGGACATTCTTAGCTTCACATACTTCAAGCTCTGATTTCTACAGATTGCTTTCTAGATTTGCTGCCCAGCAAGTCTTTTAATGATACTTTTGGATAATTCTACCTTTTTAAAAAATATCCCATTATTTCCTCTTTACTGGTTTATAAGCTCTTTTTTTCCCCCCTCTGAAATACATTAAGTATTTCTCCAGAAAGGCTATATGGGCAGTTAGCTTTTTGAGGTTTTGATTGTCTGAAAAAGGCCATTTTCTCTTTATATTTAAGAGTTTTGTCCTGTTATAGAGTTCTATATTCAGAAATAACCAATTTGCTTAGAGGGTGAGGAAAAAGGAAAAGTGGGTTGTGAAACCTTTGACAAGTTATTCTATCTAAGCTTCAGTTTCCTCATCTGTAAAATGAGAATGACAATACCTGTTTGAGGGTGGGCTTCCTGGGAAGCTGACTCTGAGACTCTTAGATTAGTGGGCAGGAAACATATTGAGCAATGCTCGTGGAATCAATGACTTGACAGCACCTTACAACAACAACAATAGGGGAGGGAAGGCACAGGATTGGGCTGGGGGAGAAGCTGGGTTGCAGTGCAGTCACAGGAGGCCTCAGCTGACCCCATGTGGATCTCTGGACAGGAATGGGCCTGCAGAGGTGTCTCCATCTGAAGCCAGGGAGCTGGACCTGTGTACCCTCTATTGTATCAGGAGACTAGTGGGGGTATGGCCTTGGAAGAAGTGACCCTCTTCATCTGAGGGCATTTGTAGAGACGACTTGTTGGCTGCCAGCTCTCCTGCTAGGGGTGAGTGGGTGGTTGGGCATCTGTCCTCCACTACCTCTTACAGAACGGCATGGAATTCTAGTTGCCATCAAGTCAGTTCCAAATCATGGTGACCCCATGTGTGTCAGAGTAGAACTGTGCTCATAGAGTTGTCAGTGGCTGACTTTTCTGAAATACATTGTTCCACAGTGCCTCTGGGCGGACTCCAACGTCCAACTTTTTGGTTCACAGCCAAGCACATTAACCATTTGCACAACCCAAGGACTTACTAGCCTGGAATAGGCCCTCAATAAATGACAATTCAAAAAGAAAGGAGGTTGCATTTGTTTTCTGAGCTTTGTCTAACTTTGTGAGTCTACTAAAATACTAGGAAATACTATCTTTTGATAAGAATCAAGATAACTTACCTAAGGAGGGTGGCGGGTCCTGTCTGGCTTCAGGGTGGATAGAGTATATGAGGCAGCATCTATAGGCTTTGAGTGTGTGGAGTGTATCTAACAGACACTCAGAAGGAAGGTTGGGCAATCTACTTCCGTAGTGATACCACCTCGGAAACCCAAGGAGGGGTTGCTATGAGTCGGATCCGACTCGGTGACAAACACAACAACAACAACATATACAGCACTGATGTGCCAGGCTCTGTTCTTGGTGCTTTGAAAATGTTAACTCTCTTAATTCTCACAACAATTTTCTGATGAGGAAAATACTGTTATTATCTCCGTTTTACAGTTGAGGAAACTGAGACACAGGATAAGGGTCCTGCTTAAGGCAGCGCAACTGGATAGAGGTAAGATTGTAGCCCAGGGTCTTTCTTCTGAGCCCATACTTGAAATGACTGGTACGGCTGCCATTAAAAAGCCTGTGGACCTGGAGTTATTTATTTGAAATGGATGGTGGTAGAAAACTAATATTTACTTAACTCCTCTGTGTGAGTCTTCCTTTGGAATGGACTTAATGGCAAGGACCAGAAACCTAAGCAAAGGTGGGCAAATTAACTTGAGTTTATTGTGAAGATCCTGGAAATCCCTGGGAGTCCCGTTGCAGGGGACATAGATGAGTCTTTCAGGGACAGCAGGATCTCCTGATTGTATCTTCCCACACTACCTACAGTCTTCACCCCCCGCATCACTGCTTCTCTTTTCTTGTCTGTTCCTAGTCTCCTGCTTCTCTCTGCAGACCAGCTTGTTCCACATTGGTACCTGCATGCCTGTGGCTAGAAACGGGCACTAGCCTGCTACCTTTGTCCCCCACTCATCTCAGGCCTGGAGTAACATGGTGTTCTTGGGCTACTCGGTGGGCAGATGTGTGGGGCCAGGGAGGAAAGAAAAGGCCTTTTTAGGCAACTGGGAAGGGCCCTGGAAGTCAGCACACTTAAGATTAAAGTCCAGTAGCCTTGCTGTGTAGATTTTATTCCCACTTGAGGGATGAGGAAACTGAGTCTCAATGAGGAGGGAGTGTTTGCCTATAGGGGTGGGGCTTTACCACCATCTAAGCAGCTTCCAGATCTTGTAACAAAACAACTTGCGTGCCCATGGCATGTGTTAGGTCAGGACAGGCTGTAGTGCTGCCAGCATTCGGTGTTTTCCTCTGGATCACTTAGTGCAGCTCTCACTCCCTGCCCCCACCCCCATGCCCGGACAGCCCACCTGCACGTAGCTGGTCAGTGTCTGGCTTGTCCAGCCACAGGCAGGCCTAGCATTGGTGCTCCTTCTTGAGCTGTGCAGGGTGTGGGAGCCCAGAGATGTCCCTGAAGGGGTCCAGCAGCCCCTGCTGCACGCTGCTAATTTGCTCTTTTGTTTTTCTCCTTTCTGAAGCCGAGTTTTTAAGACGGACATGGAACTGGAAGTTCTGCGCTACACCAATAAGATTTCCAGTGAGGCCCACCGAGAGGTAAGTCAGGCACTGGCCTCACCCATAGCTTCTTGGACGTTATGGTCCAGCTGGATTTGGCAAATAACACTGCTTTGTGTGGGGCAACAGGGCAGCATCAAGGTGGACAGGTGTGAGGCAGGCCTTAGTCCTCGAGGTCTTTGTGAGCAGGCAGGAGGTCTCACTTCAGAAAGAGGCATAGTCATGAATCTTTTCTGTGTAGCGCAGTAGGGGAAGGGACAGGAGAGCTTCAGCCCCAGCTGTACATGGGGTGTTTTAAGGTGAAGAAATGAGAGGCCTACTACACAGTAGTAGTGGGTACAATGCCCTTGGGGCATTTCCCAACAAAATGTCCCAACTTCCAGGAGGGAATTGCTCTCCTTCCTGGCATCCCGGAAGTTCCCACCTTATTTTAAATACTCTTTTGCCCATAACCATGATTCATACCCATTTATTATTGTCTTCTGTTTTTCAAAAATGTCTTCACATTGCACTTCCCCAAACCTTCCTTCTGTACCAGGGGAGTGAGACCAAATAAGGAAGTGCATTTCTTGGAAGACATTCAGGAGGACTGGGTAACCTAGTGTGCCTCCTTAGTGACAGTGGCAGCTTGTATTAGGAAGCAGACAAGGGCAATTTACAGGGAACAGAATCTCTTGTACAAGTTAATTTTCCCTGTGTTTTATCAAAGTTAAAGGAAAACCTTTTTAGTGACAAACATTTTAGCTCTCTTAGCATTAAACATTCACCAAACCTGTCTTTGTTAAATCTTTATGTGTGATTGTCCTCAGCTGCCTCTGAGCCAATGCTGGTGCTCCCTTGTTCATCACACTTAGAATGGACGTGCTCCGTGGTGGTTTAAATAAACTGTGAGTTCGGAGCCTTAAAAAAACTTCTGATTTGTCACATTTCTGCACCACTGTGTGTGCATATCAATTTTTTTTACAAGAGGTTCTTTTGAAAAAGTGCTATACATTATTTATAAGGCGATGTTACTTATCTCCTTAATACAAATCTCTTCGCTTAATATCCATCCTCCAGGTAATGAAGGCTGTAAAAGTGGGAATGAAAGAATATGAGATGGAAAGGTAAGCTCCTGTGTTCCTCTGGGTAAAGATTAAAATGTAAAAAACAGTAATTTATGTTCCCTGAGCAAGTAACAGATGGGGCGCTGCAGCACCACACAGATTGAGTGGGGATTATGAGCAGGGCTTCAAGATCATGAGGGAAGATTATTTTTCTTCTGACTGTGGCCACCTCCCTGGCTCTTGGTAGAGTGTTTGATGGTAATGGTCTTTGATTACTTTTTAGTGTGGTTTAGCGGCCCATCATTCCATCCTTGGACTTTGTTCCTGTAATTTGCAGAAATCTTTACCAAATAGCTGCTGTTGTGACTCTGAAAGCCACTAGTAAAATAGCTTGCCATTTTTATGTGTAAACACTGCCTTTATGTGTGCTGTGCTTGGATGACTGGGTCGCAGGATGGTTAAGTGGCTCATAAAGTGCTGTGGAGAGCTCCATTGGCCTTTGTCTCCATTTAGGCCTGCAGTGAGCCATGGTGAGTGGGGCCTGTCCCACTCCTTAGCCCTGCTCTAGGGCCTTGAATCAGCATGCCACAGCCTATGATGTGAGGAAGCCATTGGGTTAGACCTCAACTACTCCAGTAGCTCTTCTTGTACCTCTCCCGTGAGTGCACCATCTGAAAGCTTCCGGGGAGGAGGTGCTGAAGAGGCTGCCATTTCTACCCCCTTTTTAAACGATCTTTCTTTCATGGCCTTACAAGAACTGGGTGGCTATTGCTTCTCACTAACTCTGAGGGCCCAATCCACCCTGGAAGCTCTCAGGTGGCCCTCAGAGCCGTACTGTCTGGAATACTGCTCTGGGTATCTGAGATGCTGTTTTGCATCTCCCTGCTAGCCTTTGTGGCTTGCTATCCTGCCTACTGTGGGGTGGAGGGGCAAGATGCAGGGGTCCACAATGGGCAGCGTAGGCAACCATAGGCATCTTTTAAAAAGTCTAATGCTGAAAAGTGTTCTGAATGGTGAACCTCCATCTTTCTCTCCTTGGATGCTGAGCACTAAGATGTTAAATTGCCTTGAAGACCCCTGGGTGCTGTGGCATCCCTGGAAGGGGTATTAATGAGCACTTCATAGAGGACTAAGCTCTGTCGCAGCCCCATGCCCGTTATGGCTCCAAGGAAGCAAGGGCAAGGTGACCAGATCTGTCCCAGCTGTTCCTTTCCACCATGTGGTCTCCGGCTACAATGCAGGGTCTGTGGTCTGGTATTCCCAGGGTCTCTGGCCCCCTAAGGGTCTGGGATGTGGAGAGTTCATTGGGACATCGGGCCCCTCAAACTGGCACTGCCCCAGAAACCTGTCCACAATTGAGTTCACCTTTATGATCCATAGCTGATGCCACAAATAAATATAACCAAATATTGTAGTAGAAATAGCTTGTCCCAGCATGAAGCCCTGTCACACACTAAACACTGGCAGTCTGTGCCCTAAACTTTAGGAGTCCAGCTCTGAAGGGAGCTCCTAGAAGGGACCCTGAACTGCCCTCCTGCCCAGTATCCCAGTGCTCCAACTCAGCCGCAGCCAGCCCCTTACTTGCAGAAGTCTGTCTGGGAGTAGGTCCTGTGCGTGAGCTCTCGGTCAGGGCTGGGGGGCCCTTGGAACACTACCCCCCCTACCCTCACACCTTACTTCCTTATAATGTAGGTCTTTGTTTTCCTTTTAATGGGATATTTCAAATTTCTACAAAAATAGACTAAATGAACCCCTAATTTCCCATCAGGATTTTTTGGTTTCTGAGTTTTTAGTTATTTTGCTTGAATGTTTGAACCGACCTCAGACACCATGCCATTTCACCTGCAAATACTTCAGTAGATATCTCAGTTGGTCAGGGTATTTCTTCTTCCTTTACAAAGCCATCATATATCTTATTTAACAAATTAACCAGAATTTCTTAATATTATCACTATCTGGTCCATACTGGTCTAACACTGTTTATTTGGAATTGGTTTATTTTTGAATCAGGATCCAAAGTCTGCACATTGCATTTGGCTGTTGTTGGAGAGGGGCTCTTTTGTTAAGCTGAGCCCTGGGGAGATCTTGGCCTCGAGTGCAAACTGCTCAAACCCCCACTCCATCGCCCACCCCCAGATTCCTTCTTGGCTCCTCTGCTGCCGCCTCTGTGAGGTTCAGGGATGGCTCTGAGAAAGGGACCTAAGCTAGAGGCTGGAGCAGAGAGCTCAGTGAACCGGTGGCCAGAAGCAGCTGCAGGAGCGTGCTGAGTGGCATTTATTCAGGGCCAACTGCCAAGTGTGCTCAGTGTTGTGCACCTACTATGTGCTGGGCCCACCCTGTGGCTAGGCATAGGATCTATAGAAGGGAAGCTGTCAGAGCTCTGCGTCTCTGAGAGCTCCAAACAGGGTCAGTCCTGGGATGGGGTGGGATAGGGCTGTTCCAGGGAAAGGCTCATCTGAGTCAGAGGTGAAGAGAACAAACACCACAGGAAAGATAGGTGGGTCACGTGACCTTTGGGGGCAGAGGGTATCACTGCTCCAGAGATGGAGAGAAGATGATTGACTGGGGAAGTAGGTGGCATCTTAGGGTACATCTAGCAGATTTGAGGAGTGCACCCTTCCTGTGGGCCCCTGGGGGCGTCTGCAGCCATGTGGTGGGCTGGCTCTTTCTCTCTTGGGCTCCCATGCTTCTCTGTTGCTGCCTGGATCACTCTGTGACTGTTTCCTGGCTGCTGGCCTGTGTGCTTGGGAGCCAGAGGCTTCTTGGGGGCCTTGGCTCATTTATTTGTCATGTCTGAGCCACAGCTGGTGTCAGGAAATATGTGTGGGTTGGTGTTCTGGTTACCTAGTACTGTTCTGACAAGAATGTACCACAAATGGGATGCTTGAACAAACAGGAGTTTATTCTCTTACAGTTTGGAGGCTTTAAGTCCAATTTCAAAGTGCCAGGCTCTAGGGCTGGGTGAAAGCCCCTCAACCTTGGGCTTCACCTGTGCCTCCGGCTCCTGGCCCATTGGAGCTAGAGGCTTTTCTTCACTCAGACAGCTGCTGGCTGCTGAGACTGACAAGGCCAAGGTTGAAAAGTAAAAAGGCACAGTGCCGATGTTACCAAACCACACGGCAGGCCATTAATTCAAGTCCATTGAAAGTCCCAACATTGGCAGGCTGCTGAACAATGACACAGCTACATGCAGGGTTCAAGTGTGCCATAAGCTAGAGACTGTTCCCCGAGGTTTCTCCTTATATACAGGAAGCAGACCACATCCCTAAGGCAGCTACTCAGCTGCTCACAGTAGAGTCTACCATGGAGTTGATTACCAGTCTCACTATGGGGAACACTACATTCAGCTGCCCAGCCACTCACCCAGGCCCAGCCAAGCTGACAAACAAACTTAACTACCACAGTTGGTTAGATGGATAGATGGAGAAAGAAGAAAAGTCCTGAGCTCCTTTTCTGCCATCCTTGATGGCACCGTCTACTTTAGAATTCTTTTCTCAACTAGTTGCGGGATGTAAAATCTCTTCTAAGGCAGATGTTATGGGTTGACCAGCGGTGTGGCCCTTTTAATACAGGCCTTTGCTGATGCCCAGGAAGGTCAGGAGTGGCCAGACTGCTATGCCTGCTGACTCACTGGGTTAAAAGAAAATGCGCTGCCCTTTGTGCACATGCCCGTTGCACCCTGCAAGTACAGTGAGTGCTCCTAAGAGCTGCTGGGCATCTGTCAGGGATTCCTGCATGTGGGGACTGGAAGCAGAGTGGGTGGATGGGGGTGACAGTGCTGATTGTCCTGAAGGAAGCTAACCCCTAGACAGTTGTGCTGAGGCTTGAGTTAGTCCACTTACAGACTCAAGGTTAAAAAGAGTAAGTGAGCTGATAGCATTTATAAAAGCATCCTTTCCTTTGTGCTGAGCCTGTGAGCATAGCTTCAGAGGAAATGAAAATCATTTTCCGCAATTGAGATGTAGTAAATTGTGTTAAGCCAATAAGACATTAATGTTTGGGTAAATCTGACTTTAACAGTATTTGGCTGCAGGTCCAATCAGGCAGTCCATTTTACCACCTCATATTATTTAATGTTAGTGACATAACCAGCTTGTAGCTTGGCTGGCATGGGGTTGGCAGCTGAATCAATTACCTGCAAACACTAATTTAGAGCATGCTCAATTGGCTGTATAAGCAGGTCCCGGTTCACATTTGGCACATGGAGATTAATAACTTGATGTTTTTGACAGCCTGGGACCTTAATTGAAATTACTTTCTCTTTCTCTTCAAGCTGTGAGTGGAGCATTTTGACCCTTTCAGGAACAGCTTCCATGGGGATATGGGAGTCATTTAAAAGACAAGGGTTCTGCGAGTTGTAGTAGGGGATGCATAGCCTTGCCACCCTCTCCTGGCTGGGTTCCTTGGCACACACTCCTGACTGTGTCTGGAGACCCTTGGCAAGGCCTGGATTTTTTTTTCTGTGCCCTTCCGTCACAGGCAGCAGTCCACATTAATAGCCGCCAATTTCTTTAGTTTTGTTCCTTTGTCCTGCCCTTTGGCTATATGGAGTGAGACACTATTCTGGGTGTTAAATGTGCCCATTGCATGCAGATTGAGTTGAGGGGCACAGCCTGAGGACTGTCCCCCTAGGGCTGCAGAGAAGTGGAGTCCTCCTCCCCACCGCAGATCCTGCATCCAAGCCACAGGATGCTGGGTCAGGTGGTTGATGATTCAGTGTTCCCACCTCAGGGAGCCAGTTGTAAAATCCTTGCCCTGTTCTTGTTAAACAAGGCCAGATTGTTTTCTTCTTAGGATTAGAAAATTTAACCCCAGTAAATAGGAAGGATGATTGGAAGGTGGGAGAGTTTATAGGGAACCCTACAACCCTGTTAAGTTATGGCGGTGAGGGTGGCTACAGAAAGCATGGGCAGCTGTAGCAGGCAGACTGCTTTCCACGGCCTTGCCTCCCCTGCCTCACCCTTCACAGCTGACCTCTGAGCTCATCCCTTACTCTGTGCGGTGCCAGCCTTCCTGCTGCTGATGCAGGAACTGTCATCTCCGCCAGAGCTGGATTTCCA